ATAGAGTCAGCTTTTTCCACCTCCCCTGCTTCCACATAAAGCTTGATAAGTGCATCCCATGTCATTGGCCCAATGCGACACCCACTATCACCCATTTGCTTGATCAGATCTTTACCCTTGGATAGCATCTTATGGTTTGCATAAACCTTCAAAAGTGTAGAATAATGCCTTGAAGAAAGCTTCTTCCATGTTTTTGACATCAACTCAAAAACTGCCTCAGCTTCAGGAATTTTCTTCAGCTGTCCCCAGGCTTCAATGGCAGCCATGCACTCATCAAGTCGGGGGCTTTTCTTACAGAACTTCCAAAGCCTACTCACTTCATCAGCCTTCCCAAGAGTACCATACAGAGGAAGCATAAATTGGCAAGCCCACCGATGCTCTTCTAAGTTGCCCCCTTCCATCTCTTTCAAAACAATCTCAGCTTTTTCTTTGAGGCCACCAGATACATAGTGCCTGGCCATTATAGCTTGAGTTTTGATATCAGGTTCAATGCCTTCAGCCTTCATTGTCTCTGCGATTTGTTCCATCCCCGCTATGTCATTGGATTGGCCTTTTGTGTCTATTAAGAGTATGTAAGTAAAAAGAGAAGGCTTGACATTTTCTTTCTCCATTAATAACAACACATCAGCAATTTTCTTCTTGTCATGCCTCTTGTAAAGGAGCAGCAGTTGGTTGTAAGAAAATAATGTGATTGGTAATTCGAGGTCCTTCATTTTGTTGAATACTTCCAATGCCTTCTTTGCATTATTAGCTGAAACACAGTTTGCCAGCAAGGTTCGGTAGATCACCTCCCCTTTAAAGGATTTTGGGATTTTCTCAATATAAACCTCTGCCTTCTGGAGACCACGCACCTTTGCAATTAAATCAAGACGAGACGCATAATCTCTTTCATCAAAGTCTTTTTGCTTATTTGCTTCCACCCACTCTGAGAGCTGCAAAAGCAACCACATAAATGTGCCCAAAGGACAGAAACCATCATAAAACTCTAAATAACTAAAGGGAAGACAAGTAACTCTCACAACTTTGCAATCAACATGGAACTCATAAATCTTTCAAATGAGACCCAAACAATCACCATTCAAACTGGAGTTCTGTGAAAAGGTTGTGATGAAAAAATCCTACCCTTTTGTAAGTACATGTAGTAAAAGGGATGCATTATTTATCATGATGAAAAACATCTTGGGTTTGCAACTATCTGGTGAGAATTCAAGTCTCTAGAGGGCCACTTCATGCAAAAAAGCTGAAGGATAGATCACTCCAAAGCCTCGCACCCAAGGCCAACTTTGGTAGGACCACAGAATTATAATTGTTCTAAAACGTTCAATCTAGCTTGGCATGAGGAGTAAGGAATCAATGTCTTGTGAAAACAATGTATGGCCTCATTGCAGTTTAACTTGTGAAGCTAAGTGCATACAGCTGCCACCAACTCTTGGACACAACATCAATTATTAATTCATTTCACTTGGAAAACATCCCCAATTTACTATATGCACTTACCGGCCTCGTCCAACATGTACAGCAAGCATTCACTAGAGAACATCCTAATTTAATTTCCCCTCTCACAAATGAATAGCAGACCTCATATCAAATTGGATGCGAGGCTAACAACCTCAAACAACTGACAATTAGCTACATTAGACATCTATAAGAAAAGATTAGCATCAAGTCAAATCACCTGTAAAGCCCTCCCAAACAGTCGACGCTTGCGAAGATTGAACATGGCATTAGAGATCTCTAACTGGTCCAAGTCCTTTCCTTCTGCCACCCACTTGTCAAGAACACTATGAACAGAAACACCTGGAGCAGAAATGATGGCCTTGAACAATTCTGAGGGAGCCTTTTTCCTTGGTAATCTTTTCTCAGCTGGATCTGTTTCATTATCTGATAGTTCTAGTGCATTCTGAGAAGGCTCCCCAATATCATTTGTGTCATCACCGGACAACTCAGGTTCAGAAATTAGCTGATCTACATTGACCACACTTTCATTGGCACTTATTGGTGTTTCAAGTTCAGAGAACTCGTCCTCCAATTCTTCATCTGATTCACTGCTTTCAGCACCAGCTTGTGAAGCAAAACCACGCTTCTCCAAATAGAACTTTGAACCAATATTTGCGCTATGGTAAAATTGAGGCCTCTCAGATACAGGTTGAGGAGGCTCGACAACCGTAGCCTTGCCTTCTATGTAACTAAATACTATTTCTGATTTAGCACAACAGGCACGGGAAGTTCCAACACTGAATCCACGAAACCTGGTAACAGAACAAAAGATTATCACTCAAAAATATATGGAAGGGAAAAATTAAAACTGCCTAAAGGATGCAATCAATGGAAAACCACCAGAGCAGAAAAATAGTTTAAATGAAACTTCTTTCTACTACAAGAAATGTAGATGTAAGCTTCTCATGGAAATTACAAAATCCCAGAAACCACCTAGGAAACAAAACTGTTTAACTACAACTAATCTAACAACCGGCTAAATTAAGTCAAAGGGGTTTCATTCTTCTTCCTTATAAGTACCTCATTAACATTAAGGCCATTAAAAACTAAAATCTTACTCTCCTACCTTTTCCCTTCTCATCGCTTGAAAAGGCAATGGAAAAAAAAACGCTTTTACAGTAACCAAAAAGATCAAACCTTTACAGGACAAAATGAATAAGTAAAACAAACCCATTCCTCACCCATACTCAAATATCAATTGTGATAGATAATTCTTCAAATAACAACTAAATAAATAACAAAGTCAGAGAGAGAAAGAGAGAGTTACTTGAGAGGATTGCAAGCTCGGCGAAGAGACAGCATGGCTTTTGGTTAATGGGGGATGGGTTGAAGGTTTTGGTGAAGAAATTGAAAATGAAATAGCGGAAGCGAGTGTGAGAGTTGAAGTCACGGCCTCACTCTTAAACCCTGGAGAAACCTGAGAAGGGGTCTTGAAGGGTTTCTAAATAAATATTTGTTCAGCTAGGGCTGCAACCAAAAGTTTCTTTTCTTTTCAGGATTGCCCCCGGAGACTTCTTCTTTTCTGCAACCCCTAAACTCATTTGCTAAGATTTTTTTTAATTTTTTTTTTAACGAATGGATTATCTTCTTCTTTTAAATCCAAGGGTCACCAAGAGTTTCACAATTTGAAATGTTAGAGAGTTAGTGGGATAAATTTAGTTTAGTTGAGAATAAACTAACCACTTTTTTTCTTAAAAAAATACTAACACTCATTGGTGATATATTTATTATAAAAAATAAACTTTTATTGTTATTATACATGAAGTTATTAAGAACCCATTTATTTTTGTATTTTAATGTTTAGTTGATATTTAATTCTTGAAGATCAATTGAAATTTGATTATTCACTATATATAATGATCCCCGCCATAGTTAAATAATTAAATCACTCAACTCATAATTGATGTTTGTAAATTCAATTTTTATTAAATATATGCTAATAAGACCATTTAATAAATCTATTGAAATTGACTATGTATCAATAAAATCTTATCATTCATACATACAAAAGTAAAAGATCAAACTTTTATTTAGTGTCAATGTAACATTTATGAATAGCCATCAATTTCCAAGAAAGGTAGAAGAATAAGACCTATTATAGAACATACAATGTATAATAAATATTTCATCATTATGTTTCAACAAAGTTATTCTATTCCATCTCTCAAAAAAAATAAAAAAAACTTAATAACATAACGATATATTTACATAAAACTTCTACCTCAAGTACAAGTATTAAAGCCATACACAATCAAATAAAATCTAATACATAATAATTTGTTTTATAAGTAACATTGATGTGGCAAAGGTTGTAATGCCAAAGAAGTCATTACTCCAAGCCATGAAGGAAAAGATCATAAACGTTTATATTATAAAATTATTTTTTAGTAAAATATGTTTTATAAGTAACATTGATGTGGCAAAGATTGTAATGCCAAAGAAGTCATTACTCTGAGCCATGAAGGAAAAAATCATAAACGTTTATATTATAAAATTAATTTTCAATAAAATAAAAAATACATGTATGGTAGAATCATAACCATAAAATAAGATCCCAATTGAAATATATACATTTGTCTAGTACACTAAAAATGATGAGAAGAAATATATTTTACATCCTAGAGGGGTTATAATTGAAGATACTACAAAAGTTCCTATAAAAATAAAAAATATTATGTTTTTAAGTAAGATTTAAACTATTAATTTATATAATTGAAAGAATTAACTAGGTTTATGATGAAACCTAAAAATTAATCATTAATCCAATTTAGAGACTTTTACAAAATTGACCTTAATGTAAAATGAAGGAGTAAGGGCATAACTAATTGAATTTAGTAGTTTCTCATGTAAAATTATTGATTTTAAATATATAATAATATGAAAAAAAATAAAATTATTTCAAGCAACGACAAAACTAGAATCACCTTTTATTTAAAAAAGAGAAGGATAAGTTATTCATATTTTGTTTTGAGGTTAAGGATAAATTGAAAGCTAAGCCAAAAAAAATTCTAAAGATTTGTGAAGGAAAAATAGAGATGTCCCCTATATCATCCCTAATATATGATATTATCAATGTAATTTCATAGAATTATTTGATCTAATGCTATATGAAAAACATAAGCTAACCACATGAAGGAATGAGAAGGCGTGAGATGTGAAAAGCATTACATGAGTGGTTCAATAAATTTTGATTTTTATATATTCATTCATGTAGTAATTGATTTTATTATAAGATATATAACATATATAAATATTATCATCTACGCCCATAAAAACCTTATAGTTTAAAAAAAAACTTGTCTTAATTTAGAAAGAAAATCAAGTCTTAAATTTCATGGGTGTTTTATTGTGGCTAACCGGTCGATTGATGGCAATCACAAATAACATCTTAGATATAGCTCCAGCACTTTTTATATTTTTTTATTAGTGAAACCAAATAGCTTTAGCTTAAGAAGAAAAAAAACTGAAACAACGATATTTTGAAAATGGTTCGGATTGATCTATTGACCCATGGATTAACCCAATAAACCTTCTGTTCATTCTTTGGGTGTGGGTTCGGGTCGGCTAGTATGATTTTTGACTCTTCCCCGTATCCTTCTGCATACAACAAATGGATTTTTTTCTCATGCAACAAAAAGAATAGGAAAGAAGAAGAAGAAGAACGAAAATCCCATCTGAACAAACAAATATCACGACAGAGAGGGAGAGACGAAGAAATGAAAGAAAAAACAGGTCCCTTTCTTCTTCTTTTGGCTGGTTTAGTTACGAATTAACTTGGTGAAAATAAGTAGTGATGGTTTTAGAACCCAAGATTCATTTCTCTTAATCTTTTTCTTTCTTGTTAAAATTTAATAATTGAATAGTTATGTTTTATTTGTTTACTAATTTTGTTTTTTGATTAACTAATTTATGAAATACTTGTTGTTTAGGTTTGATGGATACCGGCGGCATTCAGTCGGAGAATGCTGAGACAAGATTAACATTTTGTAAGCCTTTAAATGATGTGGCTAACAGGAAGTATCGACGACGCCATTCTCCTGTTAATGGATCTCCTTCTTTGGATGGTTAGTTTGTTCAGTTTTGGTTTTTGGATTTATGGGTTTGTTGCCGTTTTAAGATTAATGAAAGCCTGCTGTAGGTTTTTGTTAGAATTTTGCTGCTGCTGCTAGGTTTTGTTGTTGTAATTTTACTGCATTTTAGTGAGGGTTGATTGGTTGTGTTTATTGTGTGAATTGTAGGAAGTCCGAAGCATGATCGTAGCTCCAGTCCGGTAGTTCCGAGGGAGGATGTTGCTAAAGCTTCACAGAGAAGGAAGGATGAGGAAAAAGAACTGAACCGGGATTCTGGGAGGAGTCGGTATGAGAAGAATAGAGATTCTTGTAGCCATTATGATGGTAATTCTTCGAGGAGTTCTCATGGGTATTCTAGGAATGATGATTATAGTAGACGTGACAGGCGTGTGGATGATGGAGAAAGACATTATCAGGTGTCTTCCCCTTCTGATAGGGAGTTGAAGGATGGTGAGCATGGTAGGTCAAGGGATTATGCGCGAAATGTGGGGAAATATTATTGTGACAGATATGATAATTCAGGGCATAGAAGGAGGTATAAAGAGAGAGAATCATCGGAGCATCAGAAGTTGAAAGATAAGGACTTTTCGCCTGATAGAGTTGCATCTGCTAGGAAATATACAAGCCCAGCTTCTGAAGAGAAGGATAGGTATCGGAACAGGCGGGACAGAGATGTTCGTGATGAGAGAAGAGATCATCACAGTTCTGGAGGTCATAAAGGTGATCGTTCTTCTTACTATGAGGAAACCCGATGGCATCGAAATGACTCTTCTGGAAGGGATGGTGGACATCGCCCTAGAGAACATTATAAGAATGACCCTAAGGAATTGAATGGTCAGAACGAAAAGAAGAAACATGATAACAGGGAAAATAGCAGGGAAAACAATCGGTACAGTGAAGCAGCAGGGCAGACAAGTGATGATAAATCTATTTCTGGGAGTGAAAATCAAGAATCTCCTGCCAAAAAGCCAAAATTGTTTAGCTCTAACAAGGACCCTGATTACAATGGAGATGGTATTACTTTGCTTTGTCCTGTCCTTTGTTCAACGGTTCTCCCTGGTTTGCATTCTTGCTTTAGAAGTCAAGCTCTATTAATTTGAATTCTCAACCACTGTAGTTAATGAAAGGCAGCCTTCAAGTTCATTGCTGGCCCAGGAGGTTGATAACAAGATCAATGAAGGACAAACACATGCCAATAGTTCAGAGGTTGCTAAGGACTTCGATGCCGCAAAGGTTGCTGCTATGAAAGCTGCTGAATTAGGTAGTCAATAATTTCACAAATAAGTAATTGCCATCTGATATTTTATGATATTGCCATGGTTTTGAAGGGTTCTCTTTTGCATGGCATGCATTACTTCTTGGTTGCATTTGCCCCTTGAAATGAAATATGGGGATTTGTCAAGTACTTATATAATGAAAAATTGGAGTACAGGGTGTATACTGTCAAGAAGGTTTTAGCTTCTAGTCTCTTGTTCTTTTGTGAGTCCTAGGGAGTAGCAACTTGTTTTGATCAGGTTCTAACTCGTGTAGACTCTAGAATTTCTTGTTATCTAGACTATATATTTTCCTGATTTTACGGTCCTCCTGGGATTTAAAGTTCATCTATTGCTACATAGTTCTAAATTGCTAGAAGGTTTCTGCAGGTGAATTTTTTTTTAGCTGCACCTGCTTATAAACTTAGCCTCGTGTCTTTCTCACCTTTTATACCTTTTTTCCAATTTGGAAAATAGTGTGGAGATTAGTGATAGACCAGAAAATAAAAAAAGAAATTTCCAATGATTTCCTAGCAAGGTTCTGGCAGTTTTAAGGCCACAAAAGTTCAGAAACAGACCTTTATGTGTGGATGAAGAGAGAGTGCTAGGTTGGTAACTCGCAACAAGCATGTTAGCCATGCTCATGCTATTTAGGGTGGAATTCAAGAAGCATCGATACAAATAGGAAGCAGAGAGAGCTGGGTTTGTGTCACTCTAAATTTTATTATGAGTCAATCTCTTTTCTTGTTAATGAGATAAGTTATGATAAATAAGGTCAAATCTTGCAATAGTTCAAAATTTCTCCTGTAATCTCATAAGAGTTCCCCTTTGGTTAGTAATATGTTTCTTATAATTTTTAGGGCCTAGACGCATGTTATAGGAATTGGTACATGGTGACTAGTATTGATTGAGTTATGGCTGGGTTAATGGAAGTGGAGCTGAATGCTTTGTGAGGATCTTTTGTAAATGCAAAGTGCACAGCAGGGTAGCATCCATTTAGGTATATTTTGGTGGTTGTTGGAAGGAACACAATAGCAGGAAAATAATAAGAGGACAATGCCTTTTCACTTCTCCAGCTTATAAGGAAGTTTTTTCATGGATGATCATGTTTGCATTTTATTAGTTCTTATTTTGTTTGCAGTTCTTTAGTCCCTATAAATGAGAGGCATCTCCTCGGTGCCTTTTGTAGGTTTATTGTTGCTTTTGAGAAGGAAAGTCTTTATTCTTCTTTATCTATATCAAAGTGTGCTTCAGGTTGATTAATTGTAACTTCTTAAATTCATACTGCTACCATATTCGTTTTGGAGCACCTTTTCTTTTTGCACAGTTTTAATCATTTTCTCTCTTTCAAAGCCTTCTTGATGCAGGACAGATGAAGAAAATCAACAAAACATGATAATTGATGTGGGATAGAAGAACAAAATCACCAATAAGAGACGCTCAAACTTGAACGGACCAAACCAAGAGAGACACAATCTTGAAAAAACAAAACAAGAGAGACTCAATCTTGAAAAAAACAATGCTAGAGAGACAAACTCAATTTTGAAGAAAACTTAGTTTATTTTATGCAATAATTCTACCTCCTTATAACTAATGTCTAGGTGTTTATTTATGTATGCCAAGCCAAATAAAATAAGAAAACCTAGTATAAATTAGGAAAATATAACAAGTCTTAGTTTAGTAAGGAAGCTAAAATCCTAATTTAACTACTAAATGATAAATACTAATATTCCTAAATAATAAAATCCAGAATAATCATACAATATTAATACTCCTGAATAAAGAAAAACCAAATCCAACAGTTGCCCTCCATTCTCCATAACTTCCTTTTCCTTTTTCTCGAGAATCATGCCCTTTTACGATTCTCTACTAGACTCTCACTGATCATGTTCACTATATTCATTTAAACCAAGCGGGCCAGTAGAGCCTAATGAATGGAACATTTGTTCATTGGTGAGCTACATTCAGATTCAAACTTTCACATGCTTTATATTTGAGAGGAATAACATGTTTTATTGCCATGGAAAGCAAGTGGATGGGTCTAGCTCCAATTGATCGCCCAAGGTTGCTATATATGTTGTTGAATTCAGATGTTGCAGTGATAGTTTTTAATCACCTTGAATTGGTTTTTAATTGAAAGATTTTTCATGTATGATACAGTTAACAGGAACCTAGTTGGCGGGGGCTTTATGTCTACCGAGCAAAAGAAGAAGCTGCTTTGGGGGAATAAAAAGAGTGCTGCTCAGGAAGAGGTATTCGTGCCTAGTTTATTCTTCTTATGCTGGCTGGTTCTTTCTAAATATCTGTTGAATACCCTCAATCTTTTTACAGCCTGGTCGCCAGTGGGATACTGCTATGTTTGGCGATCATGACAGACAAGAGAAATTCAACAAACTCATGGTAATTTTCATTGTCTCATAATTCTTTCTTTTTACTCAAATGATTCTGTTGTCAGATTAGTTAGGAATGGATCATCAAAATGATCTATTGTTGCTTGTTCCTGCATGACGCTGTTCTCAATTAGTTCACCTACTAACACGGTTTTAGAGTCTGAGTTTGCGCTGGTGCCTATGGCCAATTATAGGGTTTAAAGGGAGATGTAAAGGTGGAGTACAAACCCGACAGTCAAGATGCGGAGAAACAAAAGGAACTCCAGATGGATCTAGAGAAACAATACACTGCCGGGCTTCGACGAAGAGATGGCCGCACTGTTGGATTGGGTCTTTGAGCATCTGTTTAAGATCTTACCAAACGCTGTTTTCTGATATTTTGTTGCAATTCTGTGCAAGAATCACGATTCCTGTAAAACTATATTTGCTCGCCATGCATGCCCTTGGACATCTAACATTTTGCCAAAAGAATGGTCTCCCAGGAGAGGTGTTTCGTCTTTGATCCAGGTTTTGCGGAAATGTTCGCGTTTGTTGCAATTTTTGCATGGCTATTCGGCTATGCCCTCTTTTGCAACTGACAAGTACCATAGGCTTGCTAAGCCACTCTGTATTCGGCATCAAGGTTGAGTCTGTTTTTATTAAAATTTGATTTAAATTTTTTGCTTTAAATTATTTTTTTAGTATGATTGAATCGTTTTAATATATTGATATTATAAATAAATTTTCTAAAATAAAAAAAAAATTATTTTAATATATTTTAAAATAAAAAACTATTTTTAAAAATAATTTTTATCATATTTTTAATCACGCATTTGTTATTTTGCCGTATACCAGGCCAGAACCACAAAGAGAATTGTACTGTTACTGCTCATTCTCCTTTTTTTTGTTTTTGTTTTTTTTTAATCTTATTGCATTCTCTTGGTTTTCATATTTGTTTTTTTTTTATCTAATTGCATCATTATGGGGCCAATTTAATGAATAATAGGTTTGTTTACTTTCATTTTAGTCCAGCTTTTATTTTTATTAGATCCTCCTGGTTTTCGTTTTAGTGCTTGGATCTAATTTTTTTTAAATTGCATCCTGTTAGAGTCAATTTTATGAGTGATAGGTTTAATTTGGAATGATTTTATTTTATTTTAGTGCTTAAACTATTTTTTTTATTGCATCCATTTGGGATTTGGTCACTTAGTTGTGTTTAATTTGGAATACAGAAAAGAAATTCAAAGAGCGACCTCAAAAATTAAGACTTTATTTATATTTTTGTTTGTAATTTTAAAATTTATATTTCAATATTGGGTTTACTAAATTAATATTTATGATTTATTTTAATTTGTTATTTATAGAATTTTTTTGTATCATTAATCGGGTCATGGATTTGACGTATTAAACTGAATTTATCAGCGTTTTTTAGATTCTTTTATTTAATTTATTTTTTTAATTTTATTTTTTAACATTTATTTAATTAAAAATTAAATTTTTATAATTTATTTTAATTTGATTTAATAAATTATCTCCGTCTTTATATTAAGTTATGAGTTTGGTGCATTAACCATATTGACTTGAGTTATTTTTTTATATTTAATATTTAGTTGATTGTGAATTAATAATTTCATAATTTGTTTTATGTGAGATTATTATAATTTTATGATTTAAATTATAAATTTGATATATATATATATATGGTGAAAGATCGGCCCTGCTCATAGGCCAAAACCGTTAAATTTGGCTCGACTTGGGTGGCTTTCTCAAATCAGTCGTGGCAGCGGCATAAGAAATTGATCTCAATGTGAGTCTCTGGGAACGAAGATTCAGACCTTCAACTTTTCAGAAAGGTCGTCTATATGCTCCTCCTTCCACCACTCGAGCCCTGGTTTGATGCTTCTTTTTATTGACGTGGATGGTCTTTTTATTATTATTATTATTATTATTATTGGAGGAATGTATCACCTGGCTGCAAAATGAATGCACCAAAACGAGAAGTTTCGATGGATTTTTAAAATACTAACATAGACAGGAACAAAGAATGTTGGTAGATGAATTTTAGGTCACAACCAACGACAAGCTTGGAGCTCACAGACTTCGATTTTGATAAAGCTGTAATAATGGACATTGGATTCAGTTATTTTAGAATTGTAGCCTGGCTGATTGAGGATATCCTTAGCTGCCTCTATATTCATTCGGCCGAGCTACGATGGATGCTTGTGTGACAATGGCAATGAAGTGAAAGAAACAAGAACCCAGTTTTTAGCAAATTCTATCTTCTTTTTTCTCGAGTATTTTGGAGTGGACGAAGCTTGCTTCTCTGGATAAAAAAGTGGGGCTTATGAGGGACTGACACCAATATCTTATGGAGGTGCCGCACTCCCTCTCAACCACACTTGTTATCAGAGAGTGTTTAAAATTGTGATAACTGTTATGTTTTAAAAAATCTAAAGCACCTCATCTGGTGTCTAAAGCCAGCCTCATTGGTTCTGTTCCGGTCCCCCACCATACCAGCACAAAAAGATAAAGCCCCTCGTGTCACTTGGGCCATTTATTTTGTTGGTTTTCTTTTCCTCGGTGGATCCCATGTAATTATCTTGATCATAGTTGAAACCTAAATCACATCACACACTCTGCTCCAATAATGGTGGATTTCTATGATACGTTCACTTTTAATAGAGAATACTATGAGGAGAGTTGAGGTAGTTGTCGAAGCATATTTCTTCAGAGAGCACCTAAGATTTGGAGGATATCATCTCAGCACTTTCTCGGGCTTTACAAAGATTCTACGATTGCCAGCTTTAAGAGCCCCATATATACCTAGCTAGTAGCTACTGCCCGCACTCTAAAGAACTAAAGAAGAGACATATACAATGCCTCGGCACTTCCTCAACATTTGTTTTTGTATTTAAAATATGTTTGAGTTTGTTTTAAAAATATATTGGTTTAAAAAATATAAAATTGATTTTTAAATATATTTTTTAATGATTTTGATATGCTGATATAAAAAATAAAAATATCCTAAAATAACTATTTTAATGTTTTTCAAGGGAAAACAATACTATATACTATAACAACAAAGACACTATTAATATCATTTATGTGATTAACTCATAAATTGTGTGACTTATATGTGCTAATCTAGAAAAGAGTAAGAGGTATTATGTTATTGGGCAATTTAATCAATTAGTTTTATTAAAATAACATGGTTTTGTTTCTATATACATATTAAGAATTTGTCTTTAATGTTAAGATTGATAGGTTTGATAAGGTAAACTAAATTATTGAAAATCTAGTTAAATCAATGAAACTTGATAATTCATTTTATTATTTAATTCAATTAAAAATATGATTTACATGGAGTTTTGAATTCTAAATTTCTCAAATTCACTTGCTAGAACAGGTAGTTTTGAGGGCTAAAAAGCACCATGCCATGAATTTTATTATGGTTTTTGTCTTGTAAAGGTGAAATGGTCATTGAATCAATATATATATATATATATATTTTCAAAATTAAGTTAACCCGCAGATAAATGTGTAGATGAAGGAAAAAACGGATAGCTAGACAAGGGCAACTTTGTACATGTTCCGTTCATTTTGGTATCGAAAGAAAAGGCCACTTGTAAAATTTCTTGCTTACCTCAGCAACTTTTAGCATAAGGTCCCTTATAGTGGCTGTGTGAATAATATGAGTGGTGGACAGACTATGCACAAGTGCATGAATATATAGTACTGAGATGTGGTAGGAAAAAAAAACAAAAAGGGGGTTTCCCTTTGGACGTGCTATATTTTTTTAGCTTGAAAATGATAATTAATTAATCATGATCTAAGTATCTTTCAAAAGAATAGCTAGAACATACTTCATAAATGCATCTTGTAGAGCATATATATATATATATAGAGAGAGAGAGAGAGAGATTATGTTATTTTAGCAGGGACATTGACAAGCTTAAACTCTAGCTATTTTAGTATAACATGGAAGATAAATAATAATTGAGATAAGATGATGATTTTTCGTTTTATTTTATCAATAAATCTCACGTCTTTATTTATCCAAATAGCATCTGAAAATTGTGAAGAATAGATTCCACGTTTGATAAGATATTCTTGCATGTTAGCTTACATGATTCGTGTGATTACTTGTGAAGAGAATGCCACGAAGAAGAGTCTCGATCGAGCATGTCTGCCAAGCAAACCCTATCATGAAAGCAAAAGCTTGGTTCTCAGCAAGCATCGCAGCCTCTCCCACAAAAGTCTGAAGCATGTGGAAAACGAATGGAGTGCAATATATTCAAAGCTTCCACAAGTTTATAACCCAAAGGGAGATCATAAATTTGTCTAGGCATGTTTATTTTACTAATCTTAGGTTGTGATTCATGTCTTCAATAAATAAATAAATAAATTATTTCTTTGAATATAATGTGATTCATGTCTTCAATAAATAAATAAAGAAATTATTTCTTTGAATATAAATACAGCAGTGGTTTTTTATATATAAAAAAGAGGTTATATATATATAATTCAATTCAAGATGTTTTTAAAAGAAAAGGGCATGCACTGTTTATTTCCAATTAAGTTATGATTTATTAGCTATAATCCAAGAATTTGAGTCTCATTGATATATAGTTAAAAATGTATGCTATAATATTAACACATATTAAAGCATAATTTTCTACAAGGAAAGTTGAAGATTTTGGTTTTTGTTTGATATTGTGGTGTAGGGTATTTTTCAAAAATATTTTTTTTATTTCAAAATCATTTTCTTCATATTTTTTTTTAGCATCATCACATTAAAACTATTAGATAATACTAAAAAAATATCAATATTTTTTTAAGTTAAATATATTTTTAAAACATACTAAA